GTGACGAAGGTCAAGGTCTACCCACTGAAGGCTCTAACTTGTAAAAATGTGAATTCGTTTGAAGGAAGAGAGACTGAGAGTACCACAGAGGGTCTCTGCTTAATAGCAAACATCTAGGGAAGTGTTTTCCAAGTTCAGTTGCCAGAGTACCCACCACAACCATGATAGAAGGGGCCACGCTCTGTATCTCTAGCTGGCAGCAGTGCTCAATGACATCATCCACATGTGCTGGTTTTATACTCTGAATGGACTCTGTCCTCTCATCTTACTCAATGGAAAAGCCTAAGACTGTGCAAGTCATACTCGGCTGGCCACCACCTTTCGTGTGGAAAGGATTGATGGAAAAGAAACTTTTAAAAAAAATATTTGGCTGGGTGTGGTGGTGCACACCTTTAATCCCTGCACTTGGGAGGCAGAGGCAGGCAGATCTCTATGAATCTGAGGCCAGTTTGGTCTACATAGCGAGTTCCAGGCTAGCTGGGGCTACAAGGAGACCCTGTCTCAAAAAAAAGACAAAACAAATACACACACACACACACGTTCCGTGTGTGTGTGTGTGTGTGTGTGTGTGTGTATTGCCTGCATGTCAGTGCACCTGGGTCGTAAAATGCCCATGGAGGTCAGGAGAGGGCGTCAGATCCCCTGGAACCGGAGTTAGGACGGTTAACTGCCATGTGGGTGCTGGGAATTGAACCCAGGTCCTTTGCAAGATCAGCCAGTGCTCTAACTGCTGAGCCATCTCTCCAGCCCAATGGAAAAAGAACTTTAACTTTGAAGAAACTTTCTCTTCTGCAGCCTGAAAGGATTCTCCTTCATGAGCATTTGTCATGTGCCAGGAATAGAGGACAGAGATAAAGGACCCAGCCTCTTCCCTTCAGGAAATCTCAGGAGAGCATAAAACAGACAGGACAACACGGTGATACAGTAGAGCAAGTGCAAGGGGCTCACATGAAGCTGGGATCCTGCGTTAGACATGTCAGAACCTTAGGAAAGTCACATTGATCACTTGGCAGGAAGGCAGGGGAAGAGGAGTGTACAGTCTACTTTAATAGAAATTGACAAACTAGCCACCCAGGCATCCTCTGATGTGATCTGCTCTGGGAGCATTTGCCCCTCTAGCTGTGGCATCTGAAGACATCTGTCCTAATTGGTGGGTGGTCCAGATTTGGGCACTCTGTGTTTGAATGGTGCTGGCTCTCAGGGAGGGAACAAAGTACAGGCTCAGCCCTTCTACAGTCTTCATACTAGGAATTCAAGTTTTTCCTCTTTGTTGACATCAAGATTTAACCTGTTTAGAGAACATTATCATTTTTTTTCCCCACAACATCTGCTTGTTCTTGTTAAGCACTGTGTTTCTTGAAACCAAATCTTGATAGGCTCTTTCATCCTTATCATTGTGAGAAGTAACCGGAGGAAGAGGCCTGTCCTCAATTCAGCAACTAAGATGTGCCCCAGGTGACAAGGCTGTGGTGCAGTCTACTTTTAATGCATTCCCAAAATTCCACATACTTGAGCTCTGGTACAGAGTTATCACTTCTGATTCCAATGCATGATCTGAACTTTTCAGTTTTGCCACCATCAGTGCAGTGTCCTAAGTGATCAGAGTGCCTGAGAGGACTCTACTGGTGCTCCGGGAACCCCAAGGAAACTCAAGTAACCACCATGCTTTCTTTCCTGGCAGACTGAATGAGTAAGCTGAGCTCATAATAATTATTGGTTATACTGCTGTTGCTATTAAGGTTCTTAGTTTACCAATGATCTAGTTTCAGACAAGTTAGCTGACCAACCAAAAAATTTAACAAAGGAAGCTTTAGGAAAGGGGAAGAACATGATTCCTTGATGTAGGCCTCAGCTCTAGTAGCTTCTGTCCTGGAATTTTCCAAAGTCAGTTATTGGTAATCGTGCTGTTTTATTATCTTCATTTTTATAGTTCTGCTTATGCTTGGTGTGGGCAGGCCAATTGGGGAGTGATGTTTTTCCTTATTTCTCTTAGCTCCTTTGAAGTGTTTAATTGCTTGAACTGACTGTTAATGCTTCCAAAGCAGCTGTCATCTTTCCTTGTGTATGGCTTTCAGAAGTGAATATGGTTTACATGATTCAGCCAGTGAAGAGAGAGCCTTCCACAGTACCATTTATTAGGATAGGGACACTGACCCTCAAATAACACTGAATAGGTTTCTGTCCTATGGGAGAACTTAGAAATGGAGAAAGGAAATATTACACCAATTCATAAATTAGTAAAAACCTTACATCATGTCTGTTATTCACCAAGGCTTTTAGAGGTGGAAGGCAATGTTGAGTCTGTCCTTGGAGTCGGAGGTGAGGGACTAGCCATGGAGGGGCTTGTCCAGACTGAACAGATAAAAGACAGTGGACTTGCATTCTCCCAACTTCTAGTGTTAAGAGGAGGTCTAGTCTATGGTGCCAGCCTGCCAGAAGCAGCATATAAGCAGGGCCTGGGGGCCTGACCTGAGCAGAAGGAGGCTGTGCTGACCTATGATGATATATGCAGGCGTATTATCTTTTCGTATGATATGAAGATCCCGCTGCTCTGAAAACATTGACATGCACAATCATTCTGTATTTTATAGGATATGGTCCTGAAGGCAGAGGTGTTAAGGAAGATTCATAAACCTCTTCTGATCTCAGACCTCTTCCTAATTGTCCTGGATGGCTCCTTGCAGATAGTACTTAAGTCACTAAAAGTCACTAACAGCCTGTAGCAAGCAAAGGGCCATGCCAGCAAGGCTTGTAAGAACACGGTTCTTTCCACCGTACCTTCAAGGTAACATAGGGATTCAAGAATTAACTTTGAAGAGAAAGCCCTTTTCCAAACAGGATGCTTCTGCCTGGATATCCAAATTGTAGAGTTAATGTTGACAGAAAGAGCCAGCCTTACACTGATAGCTGAGGCCTAGGGCATTAGAATAGAGGAGGCAAAGGCAGGCACCAGCAGGGCTCTAAGGAGGAAGCTTGGTCTCCCAGACATGGAAGCATGGGCCCCACACTAAACCTCAAAGGGAACAGGCAAGTGTTTGGGAGCCTCTCTTCTTGACATCGCTCTAGGCTAGCTTCTCATGTTATAAGACCAAATAAGCTGAACTTTCGTGTGACCAGAAAGACTCCAGCCTAGCTCTAACTTGTTTCTCTGACTTCAGTTCCTACCTTGTAAATACTAAGCTTGAAAGTGGAGGTAGCTATTATATTGTTGCCTGTCTGGAGGTGGCCCAAGGAATTCCTCTTAGGACTAAAATACTTCCACCGTTAATGCCAGAGGCATGAAAGCCCCTGTTGGCCGTGGGGTCGGGGGTCCCAGGTGAATGGCAGAAACAGCTTACTGGATCTTATTGAACAACAGTCCCCAGTGAGCTGAACTTTCTCTGGGATTTCCCTTCCCTTTCAAACTGCAAGTTTGTCTAATAGAGTAACTTGACTAGATGCCAGTGCATGGCAGATGCAATTATATTTCAGAACAACTTCTAATCTCTGCCATCACTGATTAATTAGACACTTTGAACTCTGCCCAACTGTTTGAAAGCTGTGAAAAATACAGCCTGCATAGTTAAAATTTCTGCACAAGCCTATTTCCTCATTTGTGCCTGTATTCAGCATTCTTTGAACATAATAAGTATTTATACGTGTTTCCTAATACACGATCTGGCTATTTTCTTATCATGGCTAGAAATCCCTCCACAGTTGGCCAAGAAATACAAGCACACAGTGAAAATCTAATAACAAAACTATATGAGAAACCAATTGAATAATTTAGACATACTTTCAGTTTGTCATTGCTGCGTGTCACACAAAAGTCATTCTTTTTCTTTTTTTTTTTTTTTTTTTTTTTTTGAGACAAGGTCTCCCTTTAGCCCCCTGACCTGGAACTCACTATGTAGACCAGGTTTTTTTGTCTTTTTGAGACAAGGTCTCCCTGTAGCCCCAGCTGTCCTGGAACTCACTATGTAGACCAGGCTGGCCTCGAACTCACAAAGATCTGCCTGCTTCTGCCTCCCAAGTGCTGGGATTAAAGGTGTGTGCCACCACGCCTGGCCCTAATGGTGACTCTTTATTGAAGTTTTAGAATATTTTTGTTCCTACCAGGAGCAGTAGTAGGATAGCTGGTGCAGGGTTTAGTAATTCTCTCTCTCTCTCTCTGGGGGAGGAGGGGTGAGAGACATGCATGTGGAGATCAGAGGATAACTTGCAGGAATCTGTTCTTTCCTTCCACCTTTATGTGGTTTCTGAGGATCAACTGCAGGTCACCAGACTTGCACCTTTACCCATTGAGCCATCTCACCGGCCCATATTTTACGAGTAACTTCTAGTCTTTGTTCCCGACAGAATTGTCTTTGAAAGTAACTGAGTACAAAAAGATCAGTTCCACAAATGAAGAAACCCAGGAAGAGTCTGAAACTGGCAACTGCTGACTTACTAGAGTGTCCACTAGATTTGTAGGGCTGGGGATGAGCATGCTGAAAGAGATACGTTTATGTATTTCTCTATTTCTGTAACCTTGTGTTGAAGCATTCATCAGTGATGCACCCATTTCATGTCAGGCCTTAAACACTGAAGACTCCTTAGCGAAATCTCCATGGTCCTGAGTCCCTAGAATCAGCTGTGCTTTGATCCATCTTTCCTTCCCCTGACATGATGTTCCTAAAGAGGGACATCTAAGAATTTTTCCTAGCTTTAAGGAGATACTTGCATTTGACCTTGACCTTGCCTTTTTTGAAACAGAGGTTTTTTAATATATCTGTGCCCTCACACTCCCTGGTCCCACCCCTGTATTCCAAACCAGATTTTATCCTTTTCCACGAAAGCTTGACTATGCCAAGAACTCTACCACTAGATCTCACCTTCTTAATTGAACATGAGGAAACTAATCCACCCCTTTCTAAGCCAGATTGCTTCTGATGAATGTGTAGTTAAGTGGAACACAGCTGGAAGGATATAGGTAATTGTACAATCCTGATTTTTATTGACTTTTTCCCTCGCCTTCCTAGGTGACAGCCTGCCTGATTGCTGTGGCTAAAACCGACCGTGAGGTTCAGGTACGCAGAGGTGCCATCCACGTGATTGTGCTGCTGCTTCGAGGACTCAGCCAGAAAGCTACTGAGGTAATTCAGTCTCTCCCTGTGTACATCTTCCCTACCTCTGTACTGTTCTTTTACTCAGCCTTCCTTTGACCTGGTCCAACCCAAACCTTTTTCTTAGATGGACTCATGCAAATGAATCCACCAGCAGGGCTTTGGTAGCAAGAAGGTGGTATTACTGGCATTGTCAAAAAGAGTCTCTGTAACACCTTAGAGAAACTGCACAGTAACTGCTGGAGAAAAACCTGAGCACACGTTCACAGACAGAGGCAGGCAATCCTGCCTTCTCTTCTGGTTCCAAGTTGTGCTAGCGTTAGCCCTGCCTCTGAAGCTTGAACTCTGCCGACTGGTCTTCCTGACTCATTTTGTCTGTTCATGCAGCGTTACTGAAGGGCTTTGTTTAAGAGCCTTCCCTTCCACCTCTGAGGTCAATGCGTGAAATTTCTGTTGCTGCATAAATTGCACTTTCTTCCTTCCTCAAGTAGGTTCCTCTCCCCAGTGTATGGCCAGTACAGGAAGAAAATTTATATACCCAACTGTGTACTGAGGATGAGTGACCTCAAAATTAATTTTCTTCTTGATTCTAATAGAAATGCATTCCCCAGTTGACTTCAGATGGAGAATCTGTGTTAATAATTTACTTCCTGGCATCCAGAGGCTCCTCTATGGCTTGCACATCGGTGTTTAACCAAGCCTCCGGGAAGCCATTGTGAGAATGATTGTTCTGTCACACAGAGAGGCTTTATTCCTGAGCGTATTTTACCGTATCAGGTTCCTGATACGTGTTTGTACACGCAGGCGCTCATTAGTTATCCCCTCCCATCCTCAAACAGCCACTTTTTCTCTGTAAATGTCAACTTGTTATATTGTTCAGCTCTGCGGCTAGGCCATTGATTTTTTTTTTTTTTTTTTTTTTTTTTTTTTTTTTTGAGACAGGGTCTCCCTGTAGCCCCAGCTGTCCTGGAACTCACTCTGTAGACCAGGCTGGCCTCTAACTCACAAAGATCCGCCTGCCTCTGCCTCCCAAGTGCTGGGATCAAAGGCGTGCGCCACCACGCCCGGCTAGGCCATTGATTTTACAAATGGCCACTTCCCTGTTGGTCACTGTCAGCTGCCTTGTCCTGAGCCTTGTCCAGGCTGGGGCTTGGACTGAGTGCACATACCTGATATGAACATGTTCCACTACAAGTTATAAAATCTTGACCTCAGTGTCCTCAAGAAGTGAGGATTTGTTTTTCTCAGATCAGAAGAACCACATGTCTGTTAGCAGCTCAGCATCCAAAGGGCCAGTGATTGTATAATCTTGGCCCTTTGTCTCTGGGGCCCCTCGAACTGATTTAGGTGAGTGAGAAAAAAGGTGGGAGTCCTCGGCCCCTTTCTTTTTTTTTTTGCCTTTTTGAGACAGGGTCTCCCTGTAGCCCCAGCTGCCCTGGAACTCACTATGTACACCAGGCTGGCCTCACAGAGATCCACCTGCCTCTGCTAGGATTAAAGGCATGCGCCAGCTACCACACCTAACTCCCTTTCTGTCTTTTTAGGGGAAATTAGAGCAGTTTCCTAGAGCCCCCTCTCAGCTGACTTCCCTCCTATTCATTGACCAGAATGCTCACCTAATTACTCCGCATGTAAGGTGCCCCATAATGTTTTTAGCTGGAAAATCCCTGCTCTGAACAAAATTGAAGTTTAGTTAGAAAGATGGCAGGAAATGGATATGGGGAAGTGACTAATAGGGACCCAAAGGGATGAAAGGGATGAGTCATCTCAGCTGTGGAGGAAGAATTGCTCAGGAACTGGGGATTCTCACCTGGTTTTTTCAGTCACTAATGGAGCTAGGGGACATGTGGAGCCTAACCCAATAATTCATATAATTTTACATCCCAGGCAAAATCGCTGTTATTTATATAAGTTGTTACTGAGGAACTGAGTGAGGAGGATACAGGGATTCTGTACTAAACTTTCCTATTAGTCTAAAATTATTTAACAATAAAAATGTATTAAAAATATAATTTACTGTGGCTGAAGTGATGGCTCAGGAGTTAAGAGTACTGTTCTTGCAGAAGACCTGGGTAATTCTAGTTCCAGAGGATCTGACACCCTCTTCTGACCCCCGTAGGCATTGAGCAACATGGGTGCACTTACACACATGCAGGCATAACACTCACCCATAAAATAAAAATAAAAAATAAATAATTAAAAATTATAAATTAAAACTTGTTTAAGAGAAATCTAAGCTCAGCATGGTATTACATATCTGTAATCCCAGCATTTAGGAAGTGGAAGCAGGAGGATCACGAATTCTGATACAGAACAAGTTTGAGGCCAGCCTGGGCTACATGAGACCCTGTCTCAAAAAAATTAATAAAACAAATCTACAAAACTCTGGGGCTGGCCATGTAGCTCAGTGGTATAGCTTGTGCTTACTATGTCAAAGGCCCTACCTTTGATCTCCATGCTGAGTGTGAGAGTACACACAAGAGAAAGAGAATACATGTGTGTAAAGAGAGAAAACAATTGTCAGCAAAGTGGAAGAAGAAATAGGACTTCTAAAAGCCAGGTGTGGTGTTGTGTACCTGTAATAGCAGCACTCAGGAGGTGAAAGCAGGAGGATCAGGAGTTCAAGGTCACCTTCAACTACATAGCCAAGTTTGAGACTAACCTGGACTACATGAGATCCTGTCTCCATAAAAAGAAGAAAAGAAAAACCAGGAAAGAAACCGTCTCCAGATTTCTGACATTGTATGTAACTAATGAAAGTGGCACTGTTCGCCTCATCAAATAAGGAAATCATCTGTGGCCTCGAAAGATCTTTATCATTTTTCAAAAAAGCTGCGGGACTAGAAAGTGTCTCTCCTATTCTCCAAACCCCCAGTCCACACACACTGAAACTTGGAAATTGTGCTTACTTGGTGACTAACGGAAAGGAAATGGGGCGAGATGAATGTATGACTCCTCTCCCTGCTGCAGCCTTGAGACCAGGTGGGTTAAATCTCGTAATCGTAGGTGTGATTATAATCAGGGCCACCGTAATGAGAAGCGGAGATAACCACAAAACTTTCAAGCTGGGCTTTCTCTTTATTGCGCTGTTTTGCCCCCAGGAACAGCTGAAATGAAAATGCTACTTTGTTGATGAAGTTTTATGTTTTCTGTCTTTCCTGCTAATCACCATCTGGCCAGCTCTGCAGTGCCAAAAGATAATACTCTTTTGGCAAACCCTCTGTTGCTTGTGGATGTGCCGGCCAAGGACCTCTGCAGTCATGGCAGCTGGAAAGGGAGGTAGAGGAGGAAGATTCGGGTTAAGAGGGAAGACATCACTGCCTCTACTCATGAGTTTTTATCTCATTTCCATTTGAAAGTAACCAGAGTTCGCCAACGTGTGGTAGCGCATACCTTTAGTCCTTTAGTCCCAGCACTGGGCACCAAAAAAATTTTAAAAAGCAATCTAAGTTTTGTTGTAGTCAACACAAAATCTACATGTTCTTCCTGGGGAAAAAAAAAATTGCCTCTGCTTAACTTTGTTTTAGTCATGGGACCATATCTGTTTGTTGTATACCATGACGCTTAGTTAACAAGTGGAAAGAAACCCTCTTTAAACTCACCTACCTTACCCCAGCTGAAAAATAAATTAACTAGGAATACTGAGGAGACATGGCATGTTCAAACCTGCGCTTTGCATTGGTCTCGGAGTTAAGAATAGGCCTTCTTAACACAGAAAAAAATGAACTAAGCAACAGGATAAAGAGATGGTATGTAACTACCGTGCTCTCCCTAAGGTTGGTCTTTCCAATAACTCATTTAGTCTATGTATTATGAATGTTAACGTTCATAAATTTATTTTAAAAACAATAATTGTGGTGCACACCTTTAATTCCAGCACTCAGGAGGCAGAGGCAGATGGACTCTACAAGCTCAAGGCCAGCCTAGTCTACATAGCAAGTTCCAGGCCAGCTGGGGCTACAGGGAGACCCTATCTCAAAAAGACCAAAAAAAAAAAAACCCAATAATTAGCAGTGGCAGAGTACTGGCCTATGAAACTGGCACTCCTTCAGATACCATCCACAGTCTGGAGTTAATACAGTGAGCAACTGCCACAGAGCCCTAGATAGGGAGGAGAAGCAGGCGGATTCTTAAGAAGGGTCTGCTTAGAAGACAGATGACATACATAGTGAGTTCCTGTTTTCTTGACTTTCAAGGTAGGGACAAGTTACAGATTTGGCAAGGCATGCAGTACCAATAGGAGCCTTAGGAAAGGAATCAGTCTTATTTGCCTAGGAACCAGAAGGTGGAATCTGGTGAAAGTACAGCTGCTAGAGCGAGATAGGCCATCCCAGAAGGAAAAGATCCAGAGAGCATTACGAAGTCCTGTCTGGCTCACCTCTGAACCAACTTCAACAATTGCTGACCCAGTAAAACAAGAACAGGGACCTGGAGAGATGGCTAGGTGGATAAGAGCAGTCGCTGTGTGAGAATGAGGGCTGCAGTTCAATCTTGCGTCCATGTAAAAAGCCCAGCATGGTAGCAATGTGTAACTGTAATCCCAGCACTAGAGAGTAGGGAGCCTAAGACAGGATGTCTGGGGCCTCCTGGCACCCAGCCTAGCTCAAGGTTCAGTAAGAGACCCTGCCTCAAAGGACTAGGCAGAGAGTGATAGAGCAGGACACTCAGTGTCCTCCTCTGGCCTCTGTCCATGTGCACAGGTGTATGAATCTGCACACAACACACATATAACATAGTGACGCGTATACACACACAGGGTAGTATGTAACCTAGCATGCCCAAGGCCCCAGGTTCAATCCCTAGGGCTGCAAAAGACAAAAGGGAAAAAAAAAACCCAAACACACTCATTAGAAAACAGAATCCAGAGTTTCCATAATTTCACATTTGTAATACCCAAAATACCAATATAATGTTTATACAGTATATATAAAGCAAGGAAAATGGAACATACTCTCAGGAGAAAAGAAAAACAGCCCCAAGATAATCCTGACATTGGAACTATTAAGCATGGTTTTTTTGCTTTTGTTTTT